CCCTACAAGGGCAGACACGAGTTCCAGCACATTGTCTTCTGCAGCATGGTCAAAGCAGCCACAATGACTTTTATAAAGGCACAGAAGGAATTGCACCACTGCTCCCACAAGACGGAATCTACACTCAAGCCACCAGCAATGCCATCAGAGAGACATACACAGCCACAAGGCAGCCATCAAACAGCCACCATCCCTGAGCCATCAAGTAAATGGCACTAAGCTACAGAGCAATGAGATCAGCACCTCTTTGCTAGGTGGTTTTCTATATGGTAGAACATACATGGACAGGAGTGAGTAAGATACGCCTGTTGGCAACTAGAGTCTTGGACTACATGCTGAAATACTACTCTGGAGGTCTTGAGCATCCATATGAAACTTTTCAGTTCAAAAATGCATTATGATGAAATCTTTATGCACTGGAGGGAAGATGTTAATTTCCTGTTTGGTTCTTAGGAAGTATGCTTCTACACCTGCACCACACTGACCCGGACTTGGCATTGCAAGTTGTCACAGGACTTTTTTCTGTACGTGCTTTGCTTCAGCTGAAGACACGCTCAGCCTACAATATTTTCCTGTCCTGCCTTACAGCCATTTCCATGGCAGAATCTCCCTGCTGGGTGCTGCACTGGAACAGCAAGATTTTTAACAAGATTATTAGCATAGATATCAGGCCATAGAGGAAACATCCAGAGACCATTCTACCCTTACAAGCAACGCCATTATTCTTTGAAACACACCGCAAAAGCCATGCTTAATTATGCAGCAAATAATTACACACCTTAAAGTCATGTTAACCAAAATGGATCAATCATTACTTACATCTAAAGCAAATCATTGTTACAGTCAGAAACCTGATGGTTCTAAATTCTTCTCTTTGCTGATTCCAAATCCAGAGCTCTTAGATTTGTGTACTAGAGGCATTTTTCTTTTTCTTTTCTTTTCTTTTTTTTTTTTTTTAAACCTTTGGACTCATTTTTGTTCTCATCTGTTTCAGCTTGAAGTCTGAGGCCGTGCAGTTTCAGCCTGCTGGCAACAGACTGCATCTTGCTTATTGTTAGTTGATTTTGATTCACTTTCTTAAGGGCATCTGACACAGCGTGGCTTCCAGCCATACCACCTCTGGCTGTGCTCTTACCATCTAGGCAGTGCCAGGTTCCTCTAGCTCATGAATGGGAATCTTCTCTCCCCACCCAAGTCTCCCTCCAGCCCACTACAGGAAAGCCAAGGCTGTTGAAATAAAAAAAAATAATAAAAAATCCAACAACAAAAAAAAGCAAGAATGGCAACAAAGCTGGTATTGTCCTGAAAATCAACTGGCTACAGCCCACCCACTTCATTTAGGATAACAGATACAAGGATGAAGCCCAGTTTTTTGTTGGGGAAAACAAAAACAAACTTATTTGCCTTTTTCTTTGAAGGATGTCTTGAAAATGGTAACAATGTCACTGCTGTAGGGCCAAAGAGAACCAGGGAGGTGAAAACGGCACTATTTTTCTAAATGCCACAGTCATTCAGGGTGGTCCTTGGGGTATAAATCTGAGATTAACTTCATGGGGGATGAGAGAAGCACTATTCAGGATCTCCCTGGATCCAGTAGGGCATTTTTAAACTCGATCTAGCTGCCCAACTAGTCTAAGGAAAGAGAAGAGTAAGAAAGTTTTCAAGAAATTAAGCTGTCTCTAATTTGGAAACCTTGGAATTAAAGTTTTTGAAACTTCAGGGGCCACTATGATTACCATCTTTTGTGTAGCTCAGAACACAGCACTCCACACAGCAATAACTGGATAAAAACCAACTAACTGTGGTTACATTAAAGTGTGTTACTTTAAAAAACATCCAATACTGACAATGCTGAATGAAGGAACAATGCTTGCTGAGGGTCCTGTCATATATGCAAAAAAATCGTGATTTGTAGCCTCATCATATATTCAGAACTCTTTACCCTGTCTGCTGTGGTCTCATAATAGAAAATTTCTCCTCCTAGGCTCTTTGTAAGGAGAACTGTATCTGATTACAAATGGCTGCTCCTTTTGTGAACAAAACTCTCACTTCAGATTTAGGGATGTAAAAACAACAGGCAAGTTATGCCACTCATCCCAACATCAAGCAACAGACATCTACAGGGTAAGCCTGAAGATGAATTTTTATAGGACACATAAACAACATCCTGACTGACCTATTTAATAACGTCTCCATGTTTTCAGTGCAGCTGTCTGTAACAGTGTTTTTGCAGAGAGTCCAAGTGACATTAGTGGTAGGTTAGGAACTTGATGCATCAATTAGTAATCTATTCACTTTTTCCAAAGTCTACATCAGAAACAATCTGTGAATGCCAAATTGAGCTTCTGATCTCCATGGACACTTGTTAGTCTTAGGGCAAAAAGTAATAAATCTTAGCTCTTCAACACCCTTAAAGAAATCGGCCCTCAATAAATCTCACAATTATGGGTCTCCAAAACTTGTATTTTTGCCCACGTGGATGTAGGTTTGGGTTGGATTTTTTTTTTTTAATAAAATTTTAAAAAACCTGCATTTACTTTTCCTTGATTTTTCTTTTTAAAATTGAAGCTGATCTCAGCTTCTCTATCTCTATCTCTGCAGTGAGTTTCCTTACATATCAAAATCACTTTCAATGCTTCTACCACTTTGAAGGTAAAGTCAGCAAACAATCTTCATATTTGCACAAGACTTGCTGAAACAGGATTGCTCAGAGCACCCTGTTACAGTTCAAAACCAAGAGAAAAAGGAGAGGCCTGAAACTTAGTAAGATGAATGAAAAGATTGACTTCAAGGCTAGAAAGGCACCAGTAAACTGATCCATCTGAAATAACTAGCCAGGCCAACGGTAGATGACAGCACAGTGGGGTGATCTTCATGCTCAGAGACTGATGAGAGACAGACAGCAAGACAGCATTTTTTTTTCCTTTGACATGAATCATGATTTGATTAGCATGCACATGGATGGGCTTAACTGAGAGAAGAGTAGGCAGAAGGACTCTCTAAGTTCCTCCAGCACCCCACAGCCTTCCTAACTTCTCTTGCCTGAGCCTGTTCTAGTCCCTTTTACCTCAGTAAAGGGGCCCATGATGCAGTTTTGTTCCAAAATGCAATCACTTCAGCCACTTGTCCCTCTTCACCTGCAACCTTTATTTAACCTTTCCATCTCCTCCCACAGCAGCATCCGTAACTCTGCTGAAGCCAATGATTCTCTGCACAGGAAAGAACTCACTTGTCTGAATCCTCCAGCCCACGTCATGCTCTGCTAACCTCTTTTTTCAGACATCTCATATGCACCACTTGAAATAGCTTTCCGTGATGGAGAAAATAAAAAAAGAAAAACAAAAGAGAAAGGCCTTACCACCAAGAGTGGTAGCTCAGAAAAGAAAATAGAGTTTGCTACTTAGTTCACAGATGGAGAGTTGTATCCAAAAGCATTACATCCCTTATTTGTGTTGTGAATTTTTTGCAAGGCATTATTGGAAAACAGCTTGACAGCTCTTCTGGGAAATTTGGCAAATGCCATGGCAGAGCAGCCTCAGCCTTTTACACAGCTGGATTTTCTGCAGCCCAAGTATTTTTTTTCCCTCCTAGTCTTGGCCCATCCAAAGATGAGTGCTGAATTTCCCTAAACACTACCCACAGGTAAATTCATTATTAAACTTAGGCTCAGTTTAACATCTTGGCACACCGTTCAAATAAAACCAAATCCTTCATTTCTGCTGAAACCACCTTTGGTTTGGCTCAGCTACCTTTGGTGTCACTGAATGGTGAACAGGCGATTCATTTTCATCTTGTCAGTTCTGGTAGTAACATAGATATCCTCCATGCAACTCAGAAACACACTGCTGTAAAATAATTGTTTGCCATGCAGTGAGACTGAGCAGGATCTGAACTTCACACATTGGCTGTGACTTAGCTGTCAATTATTTGTTTCTGCAGGAAAGGAAGATACAGTAGACACATTAACAGCATGCATCCAGAAGGGTGCAGACAAAATTTCTGCATAGCTTCATACTAGAGAAACAACAGTAGGATTTTCTGCCTTCCATCCAGAGACACTGAAAAAAGAGTAGTTGAAAATGCCACAGGCACAGACCTTACTCTGTGTAAATGCATTCCTGATCTAATTCTATACATCAATTACACAGTCTAACTGTGACACAGTGCAAGCACAGTGATGTCGATGGAAAGGGAAAAAAGTTCGTAAGTATTATGAGTAAGTGCACATTACGTTCAGCTTGGAAAGCAGTGAATGTGAATGGTGACCTTTGGGTTAACTCATTAACTGCACTAAGACTATGTAGTAAATGACTCTTCCAGTCAGCTTGTTTTATTCTGTCCATGGAATATTTACAGGCAGCTTTAAGGTCTTCAAGGGCACCTGCAGAAAGTACCTGGTAATCTCATGGGAATTATCGTATCCTTTGCTTTTTTTTTTTTTCCCTCCAGTGAAAGTGTGCTGATCAGCTGTAATTGAGCTGATAAATCAAGTTATACAATTTATTTCTGTTGATCAAATAATTATGCTTAATAGTATTTCCAAAATGCTGATGTTTACAATTCAGTATCTACACGTTATTTCACTTGCAGAGGTCAAACTGTTACCAAAGTATTACTGAAACTCTTGTCAGTTACCTGAACTTCAAAGAAAAATTTGCAGCTTCAAAGATGATGAGACTGACGTTGTTTTCCTGGACCTATTCTAGAGCATAATTTGCAGAATTCATCTCTAACCATTACCATCAATCATTCAGGGGAATGAGGCCTCTTCAAGCTATTAAAAATCATACTGTAGAGTGGAGAACAGGGGAGTATCTAACAGGAAGTTTTATGTGTGCCAAAGAAGTACTTACACAAGTCTTCTAAAATTAAGTATCAATCTACCAGATTTATAAAATCATAATGAGCATGTCACACAAGAAACTTCATTTGTAAGCTTTTAAATGCAAGTAGCTTACAGTAGCATCAGTAAAGAAAGAAATTGAAATACAAATTCTTACTTGTGCCCAAGTTCATGTGCAATTGTAAATGCTAGATTGAGACCATTGTCTTCAGCAAGAACACATTTTCTCTTGGCACTGCAGACACCTCCCAGGTAAGCAATTCCTGCAACAGAAATAGAGCAAACATACCATAAGAGCTGGTGAAACAACTCATGAACTTAAAACACACAGCAGTAATTCAGCAAAAATGATGAAAATGTGTACTCAACATGGAAAAATATTAAGTAGCTTTCTCACAAAATCACCTACTTCATCCATTGCAGTAGTGAGAAGTTGGTTCAGTGTTTTATTAGACATGTAACAACTCAAGTTAAGCACAGTCACTCTCATTATTTCACTGCCCATGCAGACTCAAAAATTCACTGCAGTTTATCTATAAATGTCTGCTACTACCACGCTGGAATACAGATACAGTCAGGTAGCTTTAACAACTAGTTAAATGGAATTGCCCCGATTTTCAGACTAATATTGGTGAGAAGGAATAAAATCATGCAAGTTGAGACTCCTGAAAGGATGTTACAATCTCCCTTATTTTCATACCCACACAAAATAAGAATAGCAAACTCAGAAAAGCTAGCAAGTCAGAAAGTCAACATAGACTGCAAAAGTCTTCCATCACTTGGAGAAATTCATCCTGCAGACAGCTGTGCAGTATTTTCTGGGCCTGTTTGTGTGGGCACCAGAAGCACTTGCAGGTTCAAGTCAAAAAGGAATTTAGAAGTGACAGTATGAGACTTCTAGTGTGGAAAAGCAATAATTTCCATATGCCTTTCCTGCATCCAGACAATTCCCTGCAGCAACCATCACTGTACTTCTAGGAAATGTAGTAATTGCATCACAGGTAATTTGTTGATGAACTCTTGTTCCATCTGCCACCTAAAAACCAGAGTGAAGTCACAGGGAGTTTTGTATAAGGATCAGAGACAGAGAAAGAGCCTAAGGATGCTTCTATACCTCAACTGGTAAACAGCCACACTTCAGAAGGCACACAGACACATCAAGTATACGTAGAAAACAAGATTTCTAACTGGTGTGCTGAGTTCATTCTGCTACCTCACATCCTTCTGCCACCCTGCAGAAAGGGAAGCATGAAGACCTTTCACAAATGGCTTTTTTCAAAGGAAATCCATTTGCTTATATTAAACAGAAAACAAGATGCACTTCCTGTTCTTACAGTGGGGTAGGTAGGACTTATCTGCCTTTAGTGCAATGGAGACATGAGCTCATTTCTTTTCTCTGTTGGAGCTGAAAAAGTTGTATTTGTCAAGGTGCAAACGGTGTAAAGCTTTATGTCTGGAAGAACTCCAGTTCTGTTTTTATGAGTTTTAACAACAATATGGACAGGGATATTTATTGCTAGGGGAATTCTGGACAGAAAGAAGAGATGGGCAATAGCCTCTTAGTTCAGCATTGGCAGTAAAGAGTGAAGGCAACGCAAGAATTAGGCATTAATGTTTGGTTATATTAAAACTGGTAACTGTGGAAGGCCACATTCATACAAGATGCAAAAAATAACATCAAGCTTTAATTTCTTAAACATCAATTACCACAGAAGGCTGGACTTGCTCTCACATTAGTTCCAAGGACGTCAAGGAATCACTCAGGGAGTAATAGGTTACCTTGTCAAAGAAATTGCAACCTCACTCCCAGCACCTGATAAACCAATGACCTGGTCACAGAACCTCAGCTGTTGGTGCCTGCAGTGCATCTTGAGCTATGAACATACCTCCTCTTTCTTTTAAAGATCACAAAACATTCCTAGTTGATTCTGAAAGGGAAGTAGATATTTCTCCTGATTTATATCTTCTAGTCCCAACCACAGCAGGATTCTGACTGACAGTGCTGTTCCTCTTACTAATCCTGATTATACCATCATCTTCCACTTAACCACTGCCAATATGTCACTCAACTGTATTTAACCATGCATGAATATAACTGAGGAGTAACAAAGCAATATTGCACATCAAGCTCAGTGGTCACTCAGACAAGCCAATTTAATTCAAAATGATTCACGGTACTTTCTGATAAACTTCAAAAAAATCAGACTTATTCCATGTTTCATGGCACTTGGAAATGAAAGGAAGTAATGTATCCATGCTTGGGATATGCAGTGTAGCAAATTAAGAGTACAGGCAATATATTAAAAGTGGTTCAGTATCAATTAAAATTTCAAATACGCCACGTAGGCTTCAAGCAATGATTCTTTTCAAGTCCCTGTTTAGCTGTTGTAATCCCCACTGAAATTGACTGGCAGAAACACCGTGTTGTGCTAAAAATCTCACTGCTCAGTGGTGGAAAAGTAACTTGGATTTGTACATTCATCAGTGGCTGAAAAAGAAGTAAACTGTGGCTCAGTTACAGACTCTTAACCACCTCATTTTTATTAGCTGGTTTCAGTGTCCTGAGCAGCCAATTTCTAATATCTGCAATGAACAATTTCAAAATCTAGACATCTAAATTTAGTTTATTATAACAAATATTAAAGATATTTGTTGCACGAAGCCTAGCGATCAGACAACAGAGGAACAGAAATGTACTGGGGTAAGAAACTTCTAGAATGGCAGATGGCAGAAAACTTTGCTGAAGCTGATCTCAGTAAGAAATCCAGCTTATAAAATGAGAGCTTATTAATAAGAGTAATTCTGTCACAAGCTGGCTATAACAAACTGTTACAGCATTATGTTTGCCTCAAATGTTTTGAAATACATATTTTGTTTCAAAGTAATAAAAAAAAAGGGGAAAAAAAGTAGGAAAGTTGAACTGATTTATTAAACTTACAGTGTGTTCATGCAAATATATAAGCAGTGGCTCTCTTAGGGACCATATCTTTCCAAATATACCACTGACTGGCAGCAGTTATCAAAAATCTATTTTTAATATTAAAAAAGGTCAAGCAGGTGCATCAGTGGGAGAGGAAAGGAAAGCCAATTACTATTTTTACTATTACTAAGTGTGAGGGTTTTTTTCCTGTCTCCCATGAGAAATTGCATAATTACTGTCCATAACTTCTGTGCTTCAGTTTGAATACTCAATGCTATCTGCACTTCTACAGCAAACCTTAGGACACAGACAACTGTGTAAACTCAGATTTATCCAAGAAGTTGTCATGTATAAACAGTTTGCAGCTGTTGGCCCTTCTGCCAGCTAATAAGCCCTCTGCTAGTAGTATCTCTAGGGGGAATGATTACATATATCCTACCAGCTCAGCTAGGCATTAGAATATTACATACTTGCCACAGTGATAGCCAAAGCTTGAAGAAGACAAGTTCTGAAGCACGGCTTCACATTTCATCATATTCAAAACACCTGGGACTTCCTTTAGACATCTGTGGAATATTCACTCAGCAAGTGGCTTATCCAGGTACTCCAGCTTTCAACCCTCTAATGTCTTGTTTTCATTGCACTTCTAATACGTTAATCTTTTCTTTTGCCAGCCACCTCTGGATACAGAACTTTTACTTGATTAAAACTTGGCTAGCTTTCCTCTTCTCAATATATTTGCTGTTGGGAAGAGAGCCAAACTTGAAGTCCTGAAGTCTGCTTGGCACAGATGAAGACTCGCTGCACATCCATATGCACAGAGCAAACCCCCCATTCCCCACCATTACAAATTTGATGTTGAACTGATGTTTTTCTCATCTTCTCACAACTCTTCTCTTTGCGCAGCTCACACGCTGCCATCACTTACACTCCCATAGCCTTTCTTAACATCCTACAGGAGTAAAATCAGAAAATCCTACAAATCATTCACACTGCCTTTCCGTTCTATTGCAATAATACGTTTGACACAGGCTTGTATTTTCACATCAAGTCAGTCACCAAAGGAATCTTTCAGTGCTTGCAATGTTTAAAGATGAAAAATACTTTTTCTTTCTATGATGTCTACCTATGAAAAAAACAACAGAGGAAGAACCTGTTAAGCTGCCTCCAACACATTCTCTGTTCTACAGCTGAATAAACAGAGGTCCCAAGAAGGCAGACGTATCCAAGTGAAAAACAACAGTATCTATAGAAGGAGTCTCTCCAGCTTGTAGTCTAGATTTTAAGGTTATTACCACCGCTGTCCTACAGAGCCTCCAGCTCCATTGGTTTCCAGGTATCATCCAGAAGAAGCTAACAGCGTGAGATGTTCCTTCATTTTATGTGCTAATTCAAGGCCAGATATGCAATTTTAGTGGCACAGATTAATTTGGTGTAGTGCTTGATAGCCATTTGGATGCCAATTTCTGTTAATCCTGCAGTAAAAACATGGTTTCCATTAGATTTTAACATTAATGTATGGAAACTGTTTTGCTTTGCAATATTTTTCATTGTCACTGCATTTAATGAAAACCACACTGGAAGCAATGCAGTCACTGCCAATCACCAGTAAAGGAACTACAAAATCCAAAGCACAGGAGGAAGCTACAGTCAGGTAGGAAGACAAGGTAACAACCAACATTATTAAGCATTTTTAGAGAAAAGTTTCTGATGCCAAGGACCATGCAATATAACTTATCTCTAGGCACTACTAGAAATCAGCTACCACTTCAGAGGCCTCTCTACTAGGATGCCTCCAGCCTTAGAGAGAACAGAAAACATAAAATAAGCTGAATCTCAGTGTGTCTGAGAGAGAAGTCTGTACTGACAACTTCATACAACTTGCTGCAAATTCATCCCCACAAAAGCCTCTTCTTACTTTGGGGAATCCACCTTAACTTGAATTTCAGCACAACCTCTATAAAACTCTGCCTCTTGCCTCCAAACCAGCATGATCTGCAGAGATGTAGCACGCTTTCTCAGAACACAAAGTACTCTGTGGCTAAAAACCTTCCCTATGAGACTGACTGATGTCATGTAGTGAACCAATAAAATCTTTTCCTGGTAACTCTGAAAACAACGTCACTTTCCCAAAAGCCAAGTAAGGAAAATAAATAGCTAAACAACACGTAGTTACTTTCTGAATACCTTGATTTTCAATACATACACCCTGAAAGACTAACAAATACAATCTCTCTCTTATATCTATAATGCAAGCTGTGGGTATAATTCAGATGCCTCTACAGCTGATAATATACTCCTCAGAACAGAAGGTCCTAGTGGTACAAATGAACGAAGTGCACA